AAGCTGAAAAGTAATTTTAAATTTCGCGATGTTATTAATACTTTAATTTTTATCAATAATATAGCTGCCCTTTGTTAATGTATTATTTCAGAAAGTATATGTACATAGTTTGGAATAACATAATAAAAATATTCAATTATTCAAAAATATAAACAATCGGCACAATGTTTACTATAATATTAAAGACATTGTATACATATTATTTAATATAATATAATTTTTATAGCCTGAATTGGGTTGCTTGAACATGAATATATCAAAGTGTAGTTAAGAAAAAAATCGACCTATGAGTATTATACGTCGTCTAACTTTTTACGTCAAGAAAAAACAAAACGTTTGCCCGCACGCTTCAAAGCGAGGCGACACCGGTACCCGGTGTTAAATTCCCATGTCGCTGATCTCGCCATTTTTTTGTCACAAAAACTTTGTAGTAACGGCAGCTCATAGTAGACAGTGTGGCACCAACTTTTTCCGTCACTTTTTGTACTAATAAATCAAGGTGCCGAACAATAATAGGTCGAGACTGTGCGAAAGGCAATATTAAAAAAACAATAATGAAAATTTCTGTTGTATTGTAAAATGTATTACTAAATATTATTATATTAATCTCTGATTTTGACTATAAGCAAATAATCTTATTGAAACAAACTATAAATAAATAGTTATATTTCTTTGCTCATAAAACATAAGAAAAAATCCAAACATTTGACATAGCATCCCGCGATATCTGTCGGTCAGATTCTGTACGTCGAGATAAACTTTTTAATCTGAGCCGGGACACGAACTAACAGAGCAAATATTTGTACCGGATTAGGCGCGCACTCGCTTCGTAATTCATGTTTTTACGGTAATTTAATTCTTACGTGTATTTTAAGCGTATTATTATTGTTTTTAGATTCAAATTGTAAAATTCCAACTCTTTAAAATAATTTATTGTACCCTTAGATTGTGTAAATCCTCTAAACGAATATAAAGCCTTTAAATATTGAAACACAAAGTCGCGGAATCTTTTATATTCACCACATAATTAGTTTCCCATTTTCCCTACAACCTAATAAGAAACGGGGTTAGCGTTAAGGTGAAAAAAACCCACAAAATCAACGAAGGCTTTAGCAAGATTCCGCAAAACCTGCTCAATTTAAAATTAAAGCCACGAAACGTGTTTTTCGCGTATTTTATAAAAATCTCGGGATCTAAGAACAATCTTCGACGATAAGCTCAAGCGCCAATATCATACGCTAAATCGATTACATTTTATAAATCTTTTTAAAAAAAGGGTCTATTTTTACCTTACACCAGTAATAAAAAAACTTTCTTTATATTTAATAAAATTAATATTTAATATCATTATTTTTTAATATATAAAACTTGTCCGCCTACCCGCACTTGGCCAGCGTGGTGGACAATGGCCTGATTCCCCTCGTAGTGAAGGAAGGCCCGTGCCCAGCAGTGGGACGTTAAAAAGGGCTGAATACTACTAAAATATAAAACTTACAGAAGTTCTATTCTGTAATATATTTAAAAAATAATATTATTATAAGCAGATGTTTCCTTAATTTATTATAAATAATAATTGAAAGCAAAGTTACCAAAGAAGTGAATTGTTTGTATTTTACGAATTTATATTACATATATATATTTATTTTAGCACAAATCAAAAGTTCCGTATCTAAATCAATACAATTTTTTTCATTAATCAATAAATAAAACATCGCCCTATGTCAAATGGGCACAAAAAACTAAATTCAAATAACACTGAGTATCGACAGCAATTGACTAATGAACTCCACAACAATAGCATTTTAATAAATAAAATGCAACATTTTAATCCCCCATTTAAATTCAATGAGAAGCAAGTGCAGGACTAATCATCACAATATAATGCTTCGTCGATTTAAGGGGAGCTTTTTATAGAGCGACTGAGATGCAGCTAGTATTTTATATAAAAACAGTACAAAACGAAAGGGATGGACAACGTAGTCGATTCATTTGGATTGACTTTAAATGATTGCCTTTTTTGTTCAGCGGTGATGGATTGCGAATCATTTTGTTTACGCCAGTTTCACGTGTGTTAAATCGTATCTGTTTTTTCGTATAAAATATATATAGAAAGTATACATAGTGTAAAAATAAAATATTATAAAATGGTATATTCAAGAAACAATTTCCTATAAGTATATGTTCTTTAATATTTTTGTTTGTTAATGTTATGCTATATTTTATTTTAAAACTTTTCCTTTAGACTTTAATATTACATTTTGTTAGTAAAAATGCTACTAAAATAACTTATAAATTTCCATTAGTATTTTATATAATATATTAGATAGTTGATTAGAGAGTTTAAAAAAATATATGTATGAATGTAGATTGTAGAGCATCTTGCGTGTGTATTAAACACCTCTATAAATATGTTGGAATGTGTTGGAACTTAACACACAGCACCATCTAGTTCCACGGTAAGCTACGAGACTTGTGTTATGGATACCAGATAGTTGATACACTACACATATATAAACTTTAAATACATACATAATATTAATATAAACACCCATGACTGGAGTACAAGCATTCGTGCTCATCACACAATGAATGCCCCCAGCGGGACTCGAACCCGCGACCGCTGACACAGCAGTAGGGTCACTATACACTGAGCCAAATGTGTCGTCTATGATATAAAAAAGATCCATTTTAATAAATTGTCAAATGTATAAATAATATATTTCTTACATTATTACAAAGTTTCATGAATAAATATAAATTTACAATTTAAATTTGAAATATAATAAATGTTAATTAACATTTATGTAATTAATAAAAATTCTCCTTCTTATATCCTATTCCAAAGCTTCTAGTAATACAAATGTAAAGAAATATCAAATATTATTTCAAATAAAAAACGGATATAAATATGTTTTATTTAATAATTTAAATAATAAAATGTAGAGCATCTATCCCTCATGTGCACTTTAATACTAATTGCGTAACTAAACGGCAGGGGCGCGTAATCCGATATTGATGCGTTTGTAAAAACTATCCGATCCTCACCCTCTCTCCCTATTTTGCCGCTGAATAATTCATCAAACAGGTGCATGATGAGCTTATTTGCTTCTTTGTATTTTTTACTCGTTATTCTACTGCCTATCACTTTATTTAATTTTGTAATTGATACAAAAAACATTGTATGAAGTTGTTCTATATACTTACATATGTATATTCTATATCTGTAAGCTGTGTATTAATGAATGAATGCAATTTTAGGTAACTTTAGATAACTCTATAAGAAAATTAAAAATCTATAAAATTAAAAAAAATATATATACCAAGGTATATTTTTATATTTTGAATAAGTAGCAGTTATTATTTACTTAAACAGTTAATTCAAATTAAAGTAATCTATACATTATAAATGCGAAAGTATCTCTGTCTGTCTGTCTGTCTGTCTCTATCTGTCTTTTAGCTTTTCACGCTGTATGCTAATGTATTTGATACACATTTTTAACAATTTATTGTAAACAACTCAAATCTAATATTAGTATACACGTTTCACGTTATATGTATGTATGCACCCATTAGTTTATGCATAAAAATGTATACTTACAGTTACTAACAACGCTTAAAACCAGAGCAACCAGAGACTTTGAAGTTAGACGTGCCTTTCAAAGCTTAATAATATTGCCATATCAAAACTTTTAAGAAAACTCCAGGACACGCTTTCGTTAACCAGACTCTAGTTTAGACTATATATATACAAAATACATAAAAGCATCAAAACTTACTTAGGCACGGACCCGAGCAAAGCGAGGGTGCGTCGCTAGTTTTATAATATACTCGTGCTTCTAATTAATTATTATTAGATAAAATATTTATAGTATTTTTTTGATTTAAAAAAACACGCGATGCTTGAAATATGTATTGATGATTTTATTTACGGTGATGCAGAGCAAAAATGGTCCCTCGCAGATAATCAAGCGTAACGGGATGTGGGCATATCATAGCTGTATACAAAATTAGGGCTTATTCACCTCCAACCCCAATTTACACGCAATTCTTTGTTATTCATGTGTTTGTTATTGTTTTTGACATAAGACAATGATTATTTTAGGGCATATTTCGTAATGTAGGTAGTAGTAGATACCTACTGCTGTTTTTAGTTAATCTTGGTTTGTTATGACTAAAATATTTTAGATTACCTAAGTAAGATCTTTCTACGTAGGTTTACCTACATGTTTTATGATGGAAGCATACTAAATATATAACACATATACAAATAACAATATTATAATAGTAAAATAAAAAAATATATGCAAAATTGTCTTAACCTAAAAAATTCAAAAAAATACTTAGTGTGCCCAGTTAGGTACTTGGACACTTAGGCTGCGCGTACTTTGGATACGTTTTGGTACGAATTTTACTCGTACAAACACGTACGAACACGCACGAATACGCACGAATGATCCGCACCTTTCAAGTATTATGGGGGCGCACAGACTGCGTGCGAGTTAGTCGTACGTCTACGTGCGTGTAGTTCCGACGTCCAAATTGAATACGCTATCGTACGTTAAAAATTAAAAATGGGTGTGGAAAAATTTATAAACTTAGTTTATGGACATAAATATTTGTTTCTTCATACGTGCATAACCATGAAACAGTATGTGGTCATTATGAGTTTTTCATAATATGATGGAATTTACCGAAATTACGTATTTTTGAATATATTTCACGCGCGCAGTCTCCGAGTTACGAGGTACTCCGAGTACTAGAGAATTATCTTGAAGGTACAGATTATTCATCGCGCTCCAAAGAGGACTTCACGAGTGCGATATTACCGGAAAACTACCTATTTGACGGAGAAAAACGTATTCAATGTGCGCACTTAATTCGTACGACCACGATCGTATGTTTACGTACGATCAAAATTCGTGTCCAAAGTGCGCGCGGCCTTGTGGTCGTGTATATTTCAAGATTATCAATTTAGCTTTAATTCTGAGTAACATACTTACATTTAAGTTTCTCAAGCGGTTCGTGGTGAAGTGGAGCGTGAGCATGGTGCAAGGGGGTGTGTTGAGGTTCATGGTGTAGCGGCGCCATTAGACTCGATATCGCAGAGCCCACGGAAGCAGCCACCGACTCGTGCAGGTGACCACCCCCATGAAGTTCCAGTTCACTCAGACATAGGCCGTTCTCGCCTAGCGGCTCCATTCCGGCCGCCAGCGCTTCTTTATACACTCTGAGATGAATGGTGACGCCGTGTGTGTACGTGGGGTGAACGAGTCGCGGTGGCGACTAAGGTTGTCCAATTAGACGAAGAGCATACTTCGATCAACCTAGAAATAACAATTTTATATTATTTTTTATGACTTTATTGATGCATGATTTGCGAAGGTGCGCATACTTTTAATATTTTATCAATCCATTGCTCTTTTATTGGGCGAAACCAAATATAAACCAATAAAGGAACAACTTGTACAACTTTTCATTTAAAAAGGACCTGGACCACGGCATTTGTGCTCATAGTAGATTACGCTATATGACATTGTCAGCATGAGAGAAGATACAAAAAGGCTCTAACAGTTAGTTATAAAAATAGTCTTTCTGTTTTAAATTGTTTTTTTTCCAAAAATACACCTATTTGTATACAAAATTTGGTCCAAATCGTTAAAGCCGTTTCCGATATACCTACCTACATGAAATAAATGTACATAGTATATATACTTACAACAATTGTTGTTTTAATATTATAAGATATTATTTATACTCAGTATTTCTAAGTAATGTGTCGTTTAGTTTTAACTATGAAATATGAAAAAAAAATATCTATACTTTAATATGTAAAGTTATCAAACTTAGTACTCGGGTCAACATTTAGGATACCTTTTACGACAGGCAAATTATTCATTTTCACGAGAAAACACAATAACTGGTTCTATCGAATTGTCCTTAGAAATTTATATGGCTAATACTGGCTCAACCTTATGAGATAGGTCGATAGAAAAGTTCTCAATAGTATATTTCTATCTCCTAAGGTATACTCGCTATAACTATTTTCATTATTATTTATTACTGTTTATTTATACGTTATTTATTCTGTCTATAAATATAATAAAACTGTAGAGGTCAAATGTCTGTACATAGAAAAAAATGCTAAAAACCGCGTCAGTAATCTTCTTACATCCCGTAAGAAGAAAATAGAACAAATCCAGTTTTTTTTCAATTTTTTTGTTTCTCTGTCTGTTTGTCTGTTTTACGGGCTAATCTCCGAAACTATTAGACTAATTTAAATGAAATTTTGCATGGTCGTACCTTATATCCCCGGTCAACATGTAAGATACTTTTCATTCCGGAAAGTTAAAGAGTTCCCGTGGGATAAATAAAAAACTTTAATATCTTATACAGCTTAGTACACAATAACTTATGCACTTAATTTAGTAAAATTTAACATTCTGATACCTTATATTGCCGGTCAAACAACAGGTTACTTTGCATCCCGGATAAATGAATGGTTCCCATGGGAACTAATGGATTTCTATTAGTGTTTTTCTAGAGGCGAACCCGAGCGAAGCGAGGATGAGCCGCTAGTATCAATAATAATAGTGTACAGGAAGTAACTTCGACGAATCTTTAACATTAATTAGATAAATATATTTTACGAAATATACCTATCCATCATATTTTATCGGGCCCTACCCTTAAACGAAAAACAATTCTGGTTATTCAAAATGTTCCAACTAAGACAATATATCAATTGTACGTAAAAGTATTATCAAAATGATTTAAGACGTGTACACAGTGGCGTTAAAAGTAAATGCTGTAAATAACGGCGTGATGGAGATATACAGCCTAGCCACTTTCATATTTCAAATTGTGGTGTCAGTAGATGGACGTTTTTTGGTATCATAAAGCTTGGTGGAATAATAGGAAGTAGGTGGAAAATGCTCGCATATAGTGATTTATGTGTTTAATTGCCTTTTTACGTGCGACTTCAGTCGGGAATTCAATATTGAGCAAAGAGAACAAAGGTCGGCGCTGAAACGCCGACGTGCTCGTTTTTGTTTTACCTATGGAGTTTTTCTGTTGAAATATTCTGTCTGTATGTAAAAATGTAACGTAGCTATATATGTAAATTATTAACAAATATCAAAAAATTAAAATGCATAAACCTGCTCATACGTATAAGTTGACTTTTTGGAAACTAAAAATACATGCATTTAAATTCGTAAGCCATTGTCTTCACAGAAGATAATAGGTACATCTAAAATTATCTAACAGCCAAACTAAATTAGATAAATTTCAATCAATTTCAATCATATCAATATTATAGAAACTGATAGGTACCACCTACTTTATATTGCAAACAGATAAATAAATTTATTTATACTATAAAAATAACTTAACTAAAAACTTAAATGCATAACATAACTCAGTATTGCATTCATAATCGTAATATGTAAATTGCTCTCATAACGTATTGCAAATAACTACAATTAAGTATATTTACATTACACTACTAGCTATATTATAATTATATAATCATTTATTTATTTTATATTTAACATTATTGGTATAAATTAAATTATTATAATATCCCAAAATGTACCTATAGGTATATAGGTTAATATTTTGTTGAAGGTATAATTAAAATATCTTACTGAGCAAAACATATTTATTTACCTAACTACCTACTAATACTACCTAATACCACCTCTATTCAAAAGTTTCTTGTTCCTAGGTAGGTATATGAAATTGTGCTGTATTGAGATAAATGATCTCGTTTGCGGAAATGCAAATAACATAAATGCAAATGAAATTAATATAATTAATGTAAATTTTCACCTATTAAAATATGGTACCCATTACCTAATTTGATATTTAAAAAAGTAACTGTTTCGTTTCTCAGCATAGAGCTCTTTTCAGAGCCACCGGTAGCTTCCTCACGATAGAGTCTACTACGAAATTCGAAGAAATTCTTTAAAACTAAGTCGACGATTCAAAAGTGTTTTTCAAAGTGTAACTGAATAATTTCTATTTCACTATCTGACTTGATGACTTATTAGTTATTACTTAAATTTTCCAACTTTTGGAATAATGTAGTTTAAATAATATTAGATAAAGGATGGCTTAATGACATATAATTAATTTATTATTTAAGGACTTTTAATTCAAGTGTTATTATTATGAGAAAAAATGACGGAACCCTACTACCAAGTACAAACTCGATACAAAATGCACAAATACTAATGTTTACATAACAATTAAATCTCTATATAATATTTTATTAATGTCATTAGAATTAAAACTGAAAGTCACTCTGTAATATTTTAAACAAATAAATAACGCACCTCGATAATATTTATTGACTTTACTAATAGGGTAAGGCTAAAGTACCACTGTTCGAGCTTAAACCGTTATCCTTTAAAACCTGTAAGCCTTTCGAGCTTAAAGATTTAAGATGGCACCAGCAAATCGTTTAACATCCATTAAAATTAGTAAAAACAATAATAACAGCAACCAGAATATCTCTAACATATCAAAACAATTTTAATGTCTTCCAAATAACTCTGTCATACTTATCTTCAAGTACGAGTATGTATGTACCTAAAACTAAGATAAAATTTATCGGTTCACGTTTTGCTAAACTTCATTTTTCTTTTCTTATTTTTCTTGCAAAAACTTTAAACTAAAAAAAAGTTAACTTCAATAAAAATCGAGAACTTTAATTGATAATAATTGATATACCTTTAATATTAATAGTGCCTTAAGGTTCATATTAGTTTCATCGAGAAGAATTTCCACTAAAAATCAACGCAACGTTAACTCTGAATCAATATATAACTGATTGCACTTAAAACAAAAGAAACAATATAATGAATATAAAAATACTATGTTTTAAGTTTTTTTTAAGTCACAGATTAAGGTTATGTTACTATCTTATGGTATAATATATTTCTATGATATATGAAATGTATCAAAACAAAGGTTTCTTAAGAACATTCATTGCTATTAAAGCCAAAATTATATATGTAGGTAGCCAGAATTATAATATGTATGTTGTATAACATCCATCCACTACTTTTATTAGATATCTTATAGTATTTGCACAGAATATGAAAATAACAATACAATTTATATCTTTATAAAATTGATATATCAAAAAAACATACAATTCAACAATCAATTTACCTTTAGCTAATGACCAGCACATTTCAAGAACATGATCGAATGTAAAATTCCTAACACAATTACAGAACAACACTTTAAAATATATCATATCAGTGAATGAATGAAAAATGAGTGTAAAACATGTGTAACGACATCTAACACGGCAAATATTTGAGTGTATCTGCTTCTATCTCGTCTATCTGTTGATAACACGACTTTATGGCGGTGTCGATATTGACACGCATTACTGATACTGGCAGCGTTCGTGAGAATTCAATTCATAAACGTGAATAAAAATACCTTGTCTTAAATTTATATTTAGTTTTTGTTGTAGATTTTTTATATTTTATCTGGACTTCTCAATGTCTTCTACTATGATGGATATAAGTGATAAAAATACAGTTGAAAAACCTAGGTAGCACAAATAACAACACAAATAAGTAACAATTGTTTAATTTACTAAAGTAATATGTACATATGTGCATTTGTGTTTTTATTTTTTCATGTATTGTTTGTCATATTTCTTACGGTAAGAAAATGACCTCATTTTTTTTAGAGGACAAAACAGTTTATTTGGATGAGGAACAATGGCTTGGAGTGTGTAGGTATTGTGCTAACGTTTGCCTACATTTGTTCGTTATAATAATCCAAAGTGAGGCAAAAAGAATTTTCTTCTTTTTATGCCTTATATTATCTATAGAAACCAAAATATTTTCATCAATCCGTATAAGGCCATTTACAAGGAATAAAATACCTAATCTAAATAGGTGCTGCTACTAATGTAACAATTTTATTTCATTTTATTGCTGGAAATAAACTTATCGTAGATCTTAATTAATTGATAAAGGTCATAATCCGGACTTAGGATTAAAAAATATAAAAAATGTAAATATACCTATGTTATATTTGTGTAAGAAGCTATTTGGCAAAATTAAAATTTTAAAATTTTATCTTTGAAATATATATAATAAATATAATTTTTAAGATTTTAAAGGCCTTTTTTAAATGTAGGCTATGTTTGAAAAAAACTATATCTGCAGTGT